TGTGAGCCTTTCATTTTCATAACTGTCTATGATGCTCTCCCCAGAACTCCCCACAGCTACCAAGGGGTGCTCTTACAGCATCAGCTAGCTGGAGCATCTCACAGAAGAACACATCGAGTCAGAGATGGTCAGAATACCTTAGCATATTGCTGTGGTTGTTCCTGAGACAAAGAGCAGAAGCTGTGCTACAGGTCAGCTCTGGTGAGCTCTGGGAACCTGTCAAACAGATGCATGCCCCAAGCATAGGACAAGGAATGGGAAAGTTCTGCTGGTTTGCGTTGCTTCATTCTTTGCTGGCCCACGATGCAGTCTATTAGCTTCATAGCAGTTCTATAACCCTGCTGTGCATATGAGATGTTGACTTAAGCACCTTGAGCTACAAGGCTGAGACCTGCTCTGCGTTGCAGTTATTTATGCACATGGAAGCTACTGAACCATTGCAGAATTAACAGATAGCTTGGCACTTATTTGAGAGAAAGTAGGGAAAACTGCGCCTTGTGGGAGAAGTACTATAATTGAGCTACTGGTAAGGGAGGGGAATAAAAGAAGAAAAAAATCATTCAGAACTAGATCTATTTCATTATGGCACTCATGGGCAGTAATGAGCTAAAAGATGAGGTACATTAGCTTTAATAAAGTATTTGTAATCCAAGGGTTACTGTGTTTACATAACCAGTGTACTGTCAGGCTCGGGGTGACACCTGCCCGTTGAGTGCATGACTGTGGAGAAATGTGGGGTCAGCAACACTGTCAGGCACAAATGACTTTTCTGGAGATGAGGCCATTTCCAAACAGATAATAAATAGACCCAGCCTTCTCCAAAAGTCCTCAAACAGAATATGGTCCAAGTATTGTGAATACTAGGAGAAGCAAATGCATGAAAATATTTTCTTGCTTAGAACAAGAAAAATAAAATAATTTATAAACAATATTATATGTATATAAAATGTGCATGTAAAAAAACAGTAGTCAAAGCCTTAAATGTCATGTGAACAATACTGTGCCATGGACTATAGCTTTATTGCAGGCTGTATAAAACCATGTTATTTCTGTTTGTTTTTCTAGCTCTGTTTTTTCTTTCTAATTTTTGAGGCCTTTTTACAGGCAAGGCCTTTAAATTCAAGCTGTTTGACCATGCAGGTCTGAGGAAGTGAGGTCTGTTAGCTGTGGTCTGTTAGCTTTTTTCCTTCTCTTTCTTGATCCCATTCAAGCAAAATTGCAGTGGCTCGGGTCTGGAAATAAAAGCTTGACACTGATCCCTGTGAAGCAGAAGGAAAGTAATAGGTGGCAAGCAGCAGTTCAGATTTCCTAGCTCTCTAATGGGAGAGAAGCTTCCTGTGTACTTCCACATCTGTGCTCTATGTTCTGATAATTTCTTATGTTCCTCAGACTTTGTATTTGGTGTTCTGGTTTGTTGCAGATGCTTGCAATGTGGTTTGATGGATCTACTGCATTTGTTAGCATTCAAGCAGGTGTCTTTTGTGACAGTGTACTCACAACTGTTGTACTGTACATTTCAACTGATGATTTGTGTAGAATATTTCTGCTGTACTGACTGGGTGGTAACAGTCAATAATTCTAACTGTCTATAAGTTTCTTAAGTGAAAAAGAAAAAAATGTGAGATCCTCCAAGGTGTGTACATGTATTCCAGTCTTTGTGTGGTTTTACATTTCACTAACAAAATTAATATTATAGGTGGGGAGGAGAGGAGGGTGTGGGGGCAATCAAAATGTACCTAATGAGTCTAGAGACCAAAATGAGTCTCTGCTTTTATTAAAGACTGGATTCAGTTGCACATTCTATTGTATACACGCATCCACCAGTTCCTCAAGGGAAAGAAATTTCTTAACACATCTTCACTGCAGCCTTGTGATCTATACTCCCACTGTAGCAGCAAAATGTTCAGTACACAGGCAGCATTAAAAATGTTTTTCTTCCTTTTTCTGTCCTCTGCCTGATACATATTCTGCTTGCTAAGGATCATTTCTGTGTTTTTCCCCATCCATCCACTATTCATTTATGTCATTTATGTCCCCAGAACATTTCCTGTGGTGTGTGATGCAGCCACTCAAAGCTTCATGGTGTCTGAATTTCCTCTATGCTGCACCTAAAGGCAGAGCAACAACGGAGACAAAGAATAAGTGTCTACACACAGCCTCCTGCACCAGGCTATGACTGCAAAGTTTGATTCTGGAATGTGCCAGGGTGCTGTCAGTCAGGTCATTGATGGACATGATTTCCAAAATGAGGGCCAGTGAGCATCCAGTCATGCTGAGAATATGGTCCAAAGCAATGCAACCCAAGTAGAAACCAGTGGGAAATAGGAGGTGATACAGAAGGTGGAATATAAACTAATGTGACAGCTGTCTGAGAAACACTGATGTGTGCAGCTGCAGCAATATATGCTATCACCATTTTCATGATCTATCTGGATGCTGAAAGTGTTTCTTGATCTTTCACAGGCTTATATATTTCTTTCTTTTCAAGTAGAACTTTCCCTTAATTTCTCTTTCAGATTTGCCAGCCACCAGTGCTATGTGATGTGGCCAGATTCTTATTTTTAGAATCAGGATTTAATTTTCTAGAAAGTGCCCGAAGACCATCCAGTCACCATCTGTGAGATGCTGAAGGGGATATCTATTGTCTGCTAGGAGATTCTTCATCCTTTATAAGCATGAGTATTCAGTGGTACACCAATCAAGACAAAGAAAGATGCTTAGGAGCACACAGGCCTATTGATCTCAGTATCAGGCATGAAACAAGCCAGCAGGAATCCTCCACTTTGTTCTGGCATTTCCCATAATTTTTCTCTAGCATACAAGGTGTTAACCTTAGAAAACAAAAGCAGAATTCCCCTCAAGCTGCTACACCCTCACAGCCATAAACAGTTTTGTTGTTGTTTGGTGGGTTGTTTTTTTGTTTTTTTTTTTTTTAAGCCATGAGGCGGATTAGAAAAAAAAGAGCTGTAGTCCTCAGTGCCCTAAAGCCACGTGCCAGCCATTCTGCCTCTGACAGAGGAGCTGCTTTATCAGGTGTGCTGGGATCCAGTCAGACTGTCTGACTCACCCTGACAGAAATGCCCTCGTCTTCTTTCTCTTTACAGGTCTCCAATTTCTTGTGTTTTGGTTTTGTTATTTTTTTCAGCAGGAAGAGAATCTCATTCTAAACAGAACACTGAGCCTGGAGTTGGACAGTCAGCTGTTAATGTGTGGAGGGATTTCTGGTGGAGGAGAGCAAAATGGTGAGTGGAGCCATCCTGTCTCAGTAGAGTCATATTTCGATGGAACCTGGGGGAGAGGTCAGAGAGGTGAGGCTGTCGGAGTATTTGAGTGTTTGATGTAATGTTCCTTGGGAGTTTTTAGCCCTCCAGTTCCTTGCTCCAATCAACTCAGCTGGCACTCTTGTCATCTTTGCTTTTCCTTGTAGTGCAACCAACAGTTTTAGGTACCTGCTTGGATTTTAGTGTCTATTACAGCTTTTCTGTCCAGGAGATATTATCCAGTTCTGGGGCAGCTGGAGCAAAGTGGAATCAATCAGTGGTCCTTTCTTGAGGAAATTTCCTGCCCTTTGGAGTGGGTTCCTGCAGGATCTGCTGAAATGATCACACTAGAGCTGATGCTTGTATAAACACAGGAAAGGACATAATCCCTGGCTGCAAGCATTCACGGTTTGAGCTAGTATGGGAACAACTGGGAGGGAATTCATTCCATATGTTGGAGAATTGATGCTGAAAGGGTGGAAGCATCTGTTAAAAAAGACAGTAGCTGCTGTAGTTAATGCTAGGAAATGTACTTGACTCCTGTCAGGGTCACTGATGCTCAGAGCCCAGTAAATATCACACTGAGTAATCTGGACAATCTATGAACAAAAGCAGGGATGTGTCTGCAAATAAGGATAACACAACGCCAAATTACGTTCACTTTAGGTATCAAAATTTTAGAGCGGGCTGGAAGGGAGTTTCAGTCAGGAGGTCTGGAAGCGTCCTTTCCATTCTGAAGTAAATATATTGGATGTCAATAGTAATTTACAGGTAAATGACATCCTTGTCTCTCCTGATATGGATACTGTACCAATTTGCATATTTATCCATTTTTTGCAAGTGACTTGAGACAGTGGCTTTAAACTTTAACTCATTAACTTTAACTTTAAACTTTAAACTCATTAAGAGAAACAGCCTTGTTCTCAGTGTCTTGCTGCAGTTTCCTGTGTTTGCTTGGTTAGAGAATTCAGATTCCAAATACGATAGTCTCAGTAAGATATCCTGAATCTTTCATTTTGTACATAAAAGAAGCTCAGTGAAGAACAAAAATGTATAAGTTACCAGTTAAAAATGTAAATGTAGAACCAGGTTATTACTTTAAATAAGAGCTGTGTGTTTTCTGGTAGAAGCTAAGTATGTATTCCCAGTCTAAAGCTATGATTAAATAAACTAGGAAAAAAAAATTCTACTTAACCTGATTGGTAGTGATTGTTTTATTGCAAGTTACAGACATACCTGTTTCTTGCTGGGAATATAAATTTGTCAGCAGTCAATTGCACGTACAGTTTCGCAAATACCTAGAGCACAGAAAGGTGAGAGTATATAAATGCATTATTTACATGGCCCCTTCTGCTCAGACTTTAACCTGCATGCACAGTCCTGAAATACATATAAAGTCCATTAAGTATATATCATTACCAGGAAGGAAATAAATGTACAGCTTCAGAGAAGAGATAGGTGTGAATATCTAAGCTCAAACATTAACAGGTCAGCTGTGCAGAAAGGTGTGTTTCAGCGAGGAAGTTTGAAGAATGCGCAATAGAAAAGTTGAGTAAGAATGCCTCTACAGAATTTCATTCCCAGCTGGCAACATGGGTGTAGCCATGCCTGGGTCTCTGAGGGGCCTGAAAGAGATCCTTCTCACTTGGTGACTGATTGTTAACTATGCATGCTCAGAGTTATTTCCCAACACTTGCAGTCCCTAAGCCAGGTTGTTCAAAGGTTACACTTCCAGTTCAATGTCCACAGCTTGCCTACAAAGGCCACAGTTCCAAACAAGCCTCCGACTGCAGTTAGGAATGGGAGGATGAATTCTGGATTGTTCAGTAAGTAGTATGATCCATCGTATCCAGCGAAGTGTCCTGCTCCCAGACCACAGGACGTAGACTGAGCTAAGACTGAAGTGTGAATCCTCTCATAACCTGCTTATGCTCTCAGCCTTCCTTCTCCATAACCTGCAGTATCCAGACTTCCTGCATACTTTCACTGCATTAACCTCCCTGACCTGAAATAACCAGGCCCTATTAAAGGCATGGCAGAAGAACTTTCTGCAGTCAGAAAAAGCCAGCTTTGTGCTGGCTCATTATACTAGCTTTCTGGGGATGCACAGTGACACTTCCTTTCAGCCTTCTGTCACCTTTCACATCAGTTCAAGAGACCTCAGCAGCTTTGCTCTTTCACTCAATTTTTATTTAATTCCAATGTTTTTATGGCTCTGGCTGGGTTCAGCAGAGCTGCTGCTCATGGACGTACTACTTGCTCCTGGATTAGAGGAGAGGCTCCTGTGCTGCTTGTCCTCATCTCTGCCCCCCAAACTGAGCTTCCCTTCCCAACGCTGCCGCTAGCACAAATCCCTCCAGTCATCTGCAGTTGCTGTGGTGCTGGCTGTGTCACGGACTCAGTACTAGTTCTAGCAGCATGGCTACACCAGAAAGAAAAGTAGTTCTTAACTTTCTTTGAGCCTCCCAGAATGCTAATTTGCATCCCAGACAGGCAGGCAGCTTTCCTCCTGTGTGTAGAAACAATTTAGCCAGGAAAAGGTTAATATCTTTCTATCTTTTCAGCTGTCCTTGAATCAACAAGAGCAGGAACATGTGATTAGTTTGCAGCTCAAAGGCTGCAGGTGCAAGTCTTTGCTATCTTACAAATTACCCTGTACTTTGGCTTTGTTTGTCCCTCAGCCATAGTGGTAATAAAAAAGTTTTGCCCTCTTAGTGGGGAGTTGGCAGAGTAAACCGATTGCATGATAAGGCTCTGTATAGTGTAAGTAATTCAAGCAAACCAGTTTATGTCTTCTTGTACTGCACTTTTAAATAGCCTTGTATGCTTTTTTTCTTTTTTTTTTTTTCTTTCCCTCTTGAATAACTGTCATGTTTCCTGTTCAAATCATGTTGGTATATTCCCATGCCATCACCTCCAGACACTGCAGAAATATCCCTCTCCATTCCCACACCTGCACAGGGCACCTACAAATTGCAGAAAGTGTGATATTTTTATTCTTCTTCTTTTCTAATTTCTCTGCAGGATGTGACAAGATCTTTCATCCCCTTTTACAACACAACTGTAAATTCAGTAAGTATACTGTGTAGGATGAAGATCAACTGCCTCCTTGGCACCATGATATACCTCGGAAAGAGGGAATATAATTCTGAAAAGGAGGAGGTGCTCTTAACGGATAGTGGATGATTGGAATCTTATCTGACATGCTGTTCTATTGCTGCTAACATGATATTTGTCTTGCCACTGAATGAAAATGCACATCAGTGCTAAATCTTTTTTAAAAGGCAAGTATTTTGTCTCTCTTCCCACAAAAACTTGTGGATGTGCAAAGATCTGGACTTTACAAACTGACCTTCCTGCTTGTACTGTCTGTATTCTGATGCACAGAACCTACCTGGCTTTGCTTCTTCCCAGCATTTTATTGCATAAACTGTCAGCTGTGGGTAGTGGGTTAGCCTGGGTGAAGGGATAACAAGCAATGCATCTGCCATCATCACTATGTGATAGGCCTTCTATCTCCCAGCTTCAACTGCCTTGTCACTTGTAACCAGGTGTGATGTTTTTGCAAAGGCTAGAAAAAGCTGGAGAGTTTTGATATGGGGTACGCACAGGTTTCAGTGTCCTTCTCTGCATGCCTTGCTTCTGCAAGCCCAGACAGGGTGTGCAGTGCTTTCCAGTGATGGATGCTCAAGGTAGGGGCATACAGGTAGATGCTGTAGTGAAAATGAAGAGCAGATTTGCAAAATCACATCATTTCTGGGGTCTTCTTGCTCCCTTTTTTGCTTCATTCTCTTCTGAATCCAACCTTCTATGGCATGTATTAGTGCTTATCTCTTGCATGTATTTTTTCCAGTCTCAAACTCCTTTTTGAGGAAGAATATACATTCTTTCCATTCAGTCAGAGCCACCATTGGCTGGGTTCTTGCTTAGGACTGGCAAGCGCGGGCCAAGACCTCAGGGTCTGGCTGGGTTCTCCAAGTGTAATCTACTAAATGCTGCTGTTGAAGTCTTGCAACTGATTAGTCTCTATCTGTGCTTGCTCTATATAAAGTAATTTTTTGTAAATTTCTATAATTGTCTTATTTCTAGATCTCTTCAACTGCAACAGCAAGCACACCTGTTGAGACAGATTGTTCTTATGGGGTAAGAGTTTGTTTCATTATTTAATTTGACTGATTGCTTATGGAGTATTTCCCCTCTAAAATCGTAGAATCTTTTGAGTTGGAAGGAACCTTTAAAGATCATCTAGTCCAACACCCCTACAATGAACAGCTCAATCAGGTTGGCCAGAGCCCTGTCAAGTCTGATCTTGAATCCCTCCAGGGAAGGGACATCTGCCACCTCTCTGGACAATCTGTTCCAGTGCTTCACCACTTTTGTTGTACAAAAAAAAAAAAAAAAAAAAAGGCTTTTTTTTTCCTTATATCCATTCTAAATCTTCCCTCCTTTAGTTTGAAACCATTTCCCCTTGTCTTATCACAGCACACCCTGCTAAAGAGACTGTCTCCTTCCTTCATACAGCCCCTCTTTACATACTGAAAAGCCACTACTGGGTCTCTCCGGAGCCACCTCTTCTCTAGGCTGAACAGCCCCAGTTCTCTCAGCCTGTCCTCGTAGGGAGGTGTTCTATTCCTTGAATCATTTTTGTGGCCCTCCTTTGGACATGGTCCAACAAGTCCACATTTCTTCTCCACATCTGGATGCAAATCAAACTTCTGCATCTCCTTTCTATCCTAGTGTATAGTATAGCTGGGCTAGATAGCACTGTTGTGGCCCAGAACTGTAGGTTCATCATGTTGGCTATTCTTTTTGCATGCTAAGGCACGGACTCAGCTACTAAGCACAGAATTAGAGGATCACACTGCATGTGTTTGACCTGACTCTCTTTCTTTGTGAATTAGTATAAACTTTGGGTGCTTGGAGTAGCTGCAGGGATACCCAGCTTCCTGACATTGGTTCTTGCAGTCATGTTGGCAGTGGTCTGTGTTCTCCAGAGGTCAAACTTCAGATGGAAACGGGTAAATACCTTCCTTCACCAGAATGTCTTGCCACTTCCCAGCCTAATCCTCTATGTCAGAAAGCTGATTCAGTCCTCTCTGTAGCTCTTAGAAAGTTCAGGACTGCACTCCTGGACACTCAAGCTATCACTGGTTTACTTAGAAGTTAAAGGATCATAAGGATCAAAGAGAAATTTAAGTTAAAATTCAGAAGAAGCACTTCCAGGTGGTCTGTTAACTAGCAGAAAACAAAATCTATGGCCACTGCTCTTCAGTGGATTCTTCTCACCCAAGTAGGAATCCTCTGATTCCAAAATGATGTTACTTAGCTCCCAAAGCGTTGGCAAGTTGTTTCATAATAACTAGTTTTGTCAGCTTTTCTTCTGTTCCAGACTGTGGGTTGGGTATGGATGTCCTATGTCCCCAGTGATGGGATAGAGTCAGAGTTTCTGCAGCGCCATACTTCTTTCCCCTGAGGTGAAAAAGCATTCATATGCCCAAGGAGGAGAAAAGTCAGGAAGCACTGTGGCAGCCAAACACTGACAGTTCTGCCTAAAATGGTCTGTTCCTTCCCCTGCTACTTTATAGAAGTTTTAAACCAGCTATATTTCTTGTGTGGCTCATTCTGCTCTCACTCCAGAAAGAAACCTATAACAGTACTAAGGGAAGTGGCCTCCCTGTAGTTGCTGTTCATTAACATCTTTTTGTGTTTTGTTCTGCTTTTCTGATTGTAAATGTGCAAGTGAGGGTTTTTCTCCTGTGTGAAATGATCATAAGAATTCGGAATGTTATAGTGAAAGCAACTGTTGGGCATTAAGTGATCCCTTCTGAAAGGTGATTCATGGGCTGGCATCAAAAGGTCTATGTGGTTGTCCCAAATGAAAAATCATTTTGACAGGCACCTTAAAATGTTAGTTTATTATCCTCTATGGTTATTTACACACAAAGTGTGTTCTGAGTTCAAAAATTGTTTAATAACATTTTCTCACAGCTTTGTGCTCTTTGTAAAGTTATGGGTGAGTTGTAGATAGATGTTCTTTGTCACTGATTTTGTTCATTGCTTTAGACAAGTGAATGTTGTGAAGTACAAGAAGAACATGAATATGAAAAATCCCCTCCCAGACCTCCCAATGTAAGTCATCATTTGACTGACTCTTAACATAGCTACTGAGTTACTAAACACAGGGCTGGATTTAGCAGTAGGAATGGAGACCTCACCGTAAGCTTGCTATCCCAGAGCTCATATGTTGCCAGTATTTCTATCTATGTGTCTGTCTGATGGAATCCCTGAAATGGGCCATGTAATGGATTGCCATTGTTTTAGAGTACATGGGTGAAAGAGCTGCATCCTGCTTGGGCAAATGTGGGAGGGAGAGGGGAAAACTAGAAATGTGACCCGATGTGACATTTTCATCAAAATACTGACAAACAGTTCCAAAGACAGGCAGGAATTCTAGTGTTCTCCATTCTCTGCAGCCCGAATACTCAGTGACAGCCATCACAGAAATGATATTTTGCCTCTAGGATATATACCAGAATGTGCTGGAGGAGACAACAAATGTCTATGTAAATGAAGATCAAGGAAAACGCTTCGGAACAGGCATCCAAACACAAGCAAAGGCCCCACGGGTGAAGAAGCTGAGAACAGAACCACCTATGACAGAATCCATTTATGAAAATCACCCTCCCTCTTGCTGAGAGAAAAGTGCCAAGTGATGGCTGGGACCAGAAATAACAGACAGCATTTTCAGGACACCAGGGGTCCCACAACTGTGTTTCAAGAACAAGAGTATTTGTGTGTACTTGAAATTCTGGAGGGTAGGACAGAGACATTGTGAGGGGAAAGAACCTGGTTGAGGTTCAGCCTCTGAGTGGCTCAGAGATACTCTCCTCATTTGGGGAGTATGAAAACTCTCTGGGAGAGGTGGCTTTACTGTCCTCCTATGTTTAACTTACTCTGTTTTAATAAAGAACATGTAAGTCCTCTTAGTGATACAGCTGGAAGAGAAGGACACCCGGAGTGTTTACAAGAGCTCACATGACTCAGGTGCTTTTGCCCCTCAGTAGTGCCTAGGAGGGCAATAAGGCAACGTGGTTCTCATTTGACAGGAGGAGATGAGACTGTAAGTGAGAAAAAAATCTGGAGGCAGAAAGAAACTGCTGCTGCTGTCCTTACCCACAGGGATAGCAATTGCCCTCTGTTCTCTGCTAGGGAAAAGCTGGGCCATAACATGCTTGGTGAATAAGAGAGGACCTCAACAGCAGGCAGAGGTCTGACCAAAGGTGGAAACAGCATTGAAGCGCTTGCTACATTCAGCCTCTGAACTTGGGGGAGTGCTGTCCACCAATAGGGATGTTGCAGCTTTCTGTCAACCCCCTGTGAGCAGCATACTGGCAGGGGTCCTTGCAGGCTGCA